TCCATACAATAGAATATTGTTCAGCCATAAAAAGAAAGAAGACGGGATCCCTGGGTGGCGCAGCGGTTTGGCGCCTGCCTTTGGCCCAGGGCACGATCCTGGAGACCCAGGATCGAATCCCACGTCTGGCTCCCGGTGCATGGAGCCTGCTTCTCCCTCTGCCTGTGTCTCTGCTTCCCTCTCTGCATCTCTCATGAATAAATATATTAAAAAAAAAAGAAAGAAGACATACTTGCTACACAATTGATGAGCCTTGAAAACATATGCTAAGTGAATGAAGCCAATCACAAAAGACCACATTTTATATTAGCACAACTTTATGAAATATACAACATAGCAAAGTCTGTAGAGACAGAAAGATTAGTGTTTGCTTAGACCTGGAGGGATAGAGGCATGGAGGAGGGGTCATAGTTAAGGGTATGGTGTTTGTTTCTGACTTGAAAATGTTCTAAAATTGACAATGGTGATAGTTGCATATAACTGAACATAGTAAAAACCCCATTGAACTATACATTTTAAGTGGGTAAAAGTATATGGTATGCGAATTGTATCTCAATAAAGCTGTTTTTTATTAAAAAAAGAAGTAACATCTATTCTGAGATGGATGAGTAGGGGTTATCCATGCTAAGTGTTTGGAGAGTGATTCAAAGAATGTTTCAGTCAAGAAGAATTGCGGGAACCAAGATCAGGACTCAAAAGGACATGGAGCTTTGAAGAAATAATGGGAATTCTTTAAGCACGATGTTGTTGTTGTTATTATTTATTAAATACCAACTGTTGCAGAGTAGAGAATAGAAGCAAGGGCTTTGACCTTAGTCAGACATTTCATTTAATAGCTGCGGGACCTTGGCCAAGACACTTAATTTCTCTTAGCTTCACTTCTCTTTTTTTAAAAGATTTTATTTATTCATGAGAGACACAGAGAGGCAGAGACACAGGCAGAGGGAGAATCAGGCTCCCCACAATGAGCCCAATGTGGGACTCGATCCTGGACCCCAGGATCATGCCCTGAGCCAAAGGCAGATGACCAACTGCTGAGCCACCCACCTAGGCATCCCTTCACTTTCCTTTTTTATGAAGTATTAGGCTAATGACTGGTGCAGTCACTCTGGAAAACAGTGTTAAAGTTCCTCAAAAAGTTAGAAGTAGAACTACCCTATACTCAACTGATAAATCATTGCACACTACATCTAAAACTAAGTATGTACTTTATGTTGGCCAATTGAATTTAAATTAAAAAAAATAGAACTACCCTACAACCCAGTAATTGTACTACTAGGTATTTATCCAAAGGATACAAAAATACTAATTCAAAGGAGCCCAATGTTTATAGCAACACTATCAACGATAACCAAATTATGGAAAGAGCCCAAAAGTCCATCAACTTATGAATGAATAAAGAAGATGTGATATATGTATACAATGGAATATTACTCAGCCATCAAAGAGAATGAAATCTTGCCATTTGCAATGATGTGGATGAAACTAGAGTGTATTATGCTAAATGAAATAAGCCAGAGAAAGATAAGTACCATATAGTTTCATTCATACATGGAATTTAAGAAACAAAACAGATGAACATAGAGGAAGAGAAGGAAAAATAAAAAGATAAAAACAGAGGGGGAGGCAAACCATAAGAGACTCTTAGCTATAGAGAACAAACTGAGGGTTTCTGGAGGGGTGTGGGCAGGGGATGAGCTAAGCGGGTAATAGGCATTAAGGAGGGCCCTTGTGATGAGCACTAGGTAGTATATGTAAGTGATGAATCACTAAATTCTACTCCTGAAAACAATACTATACTCTATGTTAACTAACTTGAATTCAAATAAAATCTTAGAAGGAAGAAAACTAGACTAGTAGGCTAATGATAATGACATCTGGAAAAGGGTTCAGAGTTCATGGAAGAGAAAAAGGACTCTGTAAGTCCAGAAAATATTTTGGCAATTACAAAGCAAGTATTCTTTGGGGCACCTGGGTGGCTCAGTTGGTTAAGCCTCTGACTTCAGCTCAGGCCATGATCTCAGGGTCTTGGGATCAGGCCCTGCATTGGACTCCTCACTCAGTGGAATCTGCTTGTCCCTCTGCTCCTCCCCTGTTCATGTTCTCTTTCAAACAAACAAACAATTTGGGGAATATGAATAATAGTGAAAGGGAATATAAGGGAAGGGAGAAGAAATGTGTGGGAAATATCAGAAAGGGAGACAGAACATAAAGACTTCTAACTCTGGGAAATGAACTTGGGGTGGTGGAGGGGGAGGAGGGCGGGGGGTGGGAGTGAATGGGTGACGGGCACTGAGGGGGACACTTGATGGGATGAGCACTGGGTGTTATTCTGAATGTTGGTAAATCGAACACCAATAAAAATTAATTTATTAAAAAAAATCAAACAAATAAACAGACAAACAAAATAAATATTTAAAATAAAAACAAAGCAAGGATAATAGAATTACCCATTAGGAAAAATTTGTAAAAAATATTTATTTCTTAAATAACCAGAGAGCAGAAGGTATGGTGAGATATCAGAATACCACTTAAAAAGACATGATTGTTCCCTTTAGTGAGCTAAAGGGCTTCATCTTGATATTAATAGGTACGAGTATGTATGTGTGTGTGTGTGTATTTTTATACTATGTTTCCTGTCCTTCATTTTTCTCTTAATCATGGCATGGTGAATGTGTAGTACATATGGATCTACTTTATTCCTTTAAAGATTCTTTACCCATACTATACTGAAAATATTGTAAGGGGGTGCGGGCAACATATTTGAATAGACATTTCTCAAAGCAAAGTGTAAAAATGACCAATAAGTATGCAAAAAGACACTCCATGCCCAAATAAACCCAGTGGTTCAGCCGTTTTTGCTAAAGCTCTTGCAAAACCTTAGTGCCAGAGTATCAAATAACTGCATTTAGACACTCTTTTGAAAGGTCCCACCCTCCCTCAAACTTTACTCTACCTTGAACTTTCCTTGTGGAGGGAACAAATCGTCTCTTCTCTTGGCTTTTGCCTTTTCCTTTTACAGAGTCATGGTGATTATGTATGTATGGGATCCAAGGCTGGTTTTCAAAAACACATGCTCCTGTCAGTTTCTCAGTGAAAATTTTTGCGTAAGATTACTTCTCTCATTAGTATCCTGATACATCCATTGGTCTTGCTCCTCTCCTTTTATTTTGTGAATCATAGTAGCTATGTCTTATGTTAACCTTAAAGTTCTTCATGAAAAAAAAATAAAGTTCTTCATGGACTATTGACTTTTAGTTTCATAGTTGTTCTTTTCAGTTAATTAGAATTCATTCAAAATCCTATATATTAAACAAAGTTACAAATGCCCTGTTTACACTCTACAGTACAGTGCATTATCTGCTTTATTTAACATGGAATTATAAATCCAAATTTGCTCTATTGAGAAAGGCTTACCATTCACATTAAGATTTATTGCACAGAGAAAACTGTTATTGGGAGTCAATCCACCTTGGATCCTGATCATCCCTGCACATTTTTATTGGGTATACAAAGAATGTAAGACCCTGACCACTCTACCTTGTGGAGATTCAGTGTCCAGAACAAGTGGTTGGTGGCATCTATGGTGTCCTGAATAGGAAGCGAGGTCATGTCTTTGAGGAGTCCCAGGTGACCGGCACTCCCATGTTTGTTGTGAAGGCCTACCTGCCTGTGAATGAGTCCTTTGGCTTCACTGCTGACCTGAGGTCCAACACCGGTGGCCAGGCCTTCCCCCAGTGCATATTTGACCACTGGCAGATCCTGCCCGGGGATCCCTTCAACAACACCAGCCACCCCAGCCAGTGGTGGCTGAAACACGCAAGCGTAAAGGCTTGAAGGAAGGCATCCCTGCCCTGGACAACTTCCTGGACAAATTGTAGGCAGCCCTCCCCTGCAGCCCACCACCCCAGGTGGGACTCAGCACAGCCCCTGCACCCGGCTGACGATCGACCACAGCAACAAGCCCTCGCATTCTCCATGACACCTCGAGACTGTCCAGTGACGCTCCACCTGACAGGTTCTGGGGCCCACTTAGTGCCATCACTCAACGTGAACACTTGATGCCGTTTCTTTCAATATTTATTTCAAAATTTCAGAGGCAACAAACACCCTAGCAGCAGGGACTTATTTGGCCAGTGGGGGTGGGGGAGGCGGGATGGGACACTCAACATTTTTTTTTCCATTTCAGAAACTCAAATGTCAAAAAAAAAAAAAGCGCATTAAGAGGTTTATTTGGGTAAATGGCCCGTAGTGGATTTCCCCCCAGAAAGGGGGAAGGAACGAGCCGGTAGACCTTTCTTTTTGGACAGAAGCTAGAAGGCAGGAAACTTTGTGCGGTGTCACCGTGAGCACCTCCAGCTGTATTAGTGCCATTGGAATAATAAATTTGATATGGTGGTAAAAAAAAAAAGTCTTCAAGTCAGCAGTCATCATCTTCCTCCTCTTCCTCTTCCTTGTCGTCATGTTCTTCTTCATCAACCGTCGTATAAGAAATCTCTCAACAAACAACAGTAGTACCAGAGTCTGATCCAAACAGTCAGGTTGATTGGACTTATGACCCAAATGAACCACGATACTGCATTTGCAATCAGGTATCCTATGGCAAGATGGTGGGATGTGATAACCAAGATTGCCCAATAAAATGGTTCCATTATGGATGTGTTGGGTTGACAGAAGCACCAAAAGGAAAATGGTACTGTCCACAGTGCACTGCTGCAATGAAGAGAAGAGGCAGTCGGCACAAATAAAGGTGGCCGTCTCCTTTGAGGAAGAGAATCTTCAACTAAACATTTTATATAGGACTTTAAAAAAAAAAAGAAGAGAAGGAAAGAAGACACAATGCATTTCCAGGCAACCACTTCAAGGATTTACAAAAACAATCCTGTAAGATCTTGAACTTGAATTTTATGGGTTGTATTTTTTTTTTCCCCAACAGAAACCAGTTTAATGATGATACGCTGCTCTGGGGTAGGGCTACCATCCACACTGGCCAGAAAGCCTGGTGGGGAATGCAGAAGGGAGGAAAGTGCATCGTGTTCCTAATGGGAGTAAAATGGACACAGCGGTTGGGCCAGGAGCCTGAGGCCAGTGTCCGCAAGGCTCACAGTGCTGCCTCTGCAAGGGCAAGGCGGGCCAGCCTCATGATGACACCTGCCAGGTCAGCAGCCTTGTCCAGCTTGATGTAGGTGTCTGTGCGGATGTGGTCGAGGCTGAGCCAGTCGGGTAGCAGCTCAGAGAGGAGCCATATGTGCTTCTCCATCTCTCCGGGGTTCATGGCTGCAGGGTAGCTGCCCACCATCCTGCTGCAGGCCACCTCCATGGTGAGCGCAGGCTTACGCTCGGACACAAAGATGCTGCGCAGCACGCGGGCCAGCTCGGGCAGCTGCTGCAGCCGTTGCAGCCATTGCTCCTGCTCTGGGTGTCGGGTCATCTGTGCCAGCTGCTTCTGTACCTCCTTGCAGCGGATCCTCTCTAGCAGGTCCTGGGACACCCCCTTCAGGGTCGCAGGTGGGGTGGCCGGCAGGGCAGGGCTGGGGGCCCCAGGGCTGCTAGGCTTGGTTGTATGCAGAGCCAGGTCACTCAGGGCCTTTTCCATCCTGGGTGACATGAGGCTGCGGGCACGAGCCAACAGGTAGTCCATGTCTCAGAGTTGTGTTTGCAACAAGCAACTTTGAAGAATGAGGTAACATATTTCCCTGGATACAGAGTAGGCTTGCTTCTGTTTACCATGAAACCAATGAATTCTCCAAACACAGGGTTTTTTTCCTGTTACACAATGCACTGCATGTGCAGACATCCATAAAAGGGTCTGTGTCACCTCAGATGATTTGAGGATCACGGAGAACTAGTAAAAACCAGTATGAATCTTTAGCTATGGCTTTTGCCATGAGCAATAATATCTTTTGTTTTTGACCCAGGATTCTAGTGTCTTCTGCCAGTATGCATTAAAGAGTAGCAGGTTAACTCGTTAAATTGTATGTAGGGTATAATCTCAGATCACATAATTCTTTTTATTATTTTTTAAGATTTTATTATTCATTCGACAAAGAGAGCACAAGCAGGGAGAGCAGCAGGCAGAGGGAGAGGGAGAAGCAGGCTCCCTGCTGAGCAAGAAGCCCAATGTGAGGCTCAATCCCAAGACCCTGGGATCATGACCTGAGCTGAAGGAAGACACTTAACTGACTGAGCCACCCACGCACCCCATCAGATCGTATATTTCTTGACAGGTGTTTCCAGATACTATCCCTAAATCAGTTATACAAGCACAATATTTCCCACTAGGACGATTTTTGCAATGTCTGTGTACTGCCTGTGCTTCATGTCTGTCTCCAAACTGACTCACCTACTTAATTTGAGTACTTTTTTGAAAAGGAAGCTTTATAACACCACCTTAAATCTATACTATCATCTTTTGCCTGAAATAGAGTATTCATTAATATACATTTAAATAAACACATGGCGGAACGCCTGGGTGGCTCAGTGGTTGGGTGGCTGCCTTTGGCTCAGGTCGTGATCCCGAGATCTGGGATAGAGTCCCGAGTCGGGCTCCTGCGGGGAGCCTGCTTCTTCCTCTGCCTGTGTCTCTGCCTCTCTCTCTCTCTGTGTGTGTCTCTCATGAATAAATAAATGAATCTTTAAAAAATAAATAAATAAACACATGGCTATTACAATTTAATATATTTGTGTACTATCTAAAATCATCCCCACCCCCCCACCAGGCCCTCTACTTTAACCCCAAGCTGATTTCATCCACAGGAGTCATGCCTGTGACAGACTATCATAACTAATGCTTTTAGTCAATTTTGAGGTCTTATCTTCTTCCGTATAAAAAGTTCTCATCAAGCCCTCCTGTGAAGGAAAAAAGGAAGAAAGTGTCTAGTGCTCTGACCTGCTACAGAGACAGTCATTATCCTCCAGGTAAGTATATCCAGGACAGCCTGGCCATCAGTTGAGGAAAGTCTAGTGCCTACTTCAATATGAAGTAGAGAATCAAAGTCAGGAGAGGAGTGTGGCTTGAACGAGCCCTTCTATATCCTACCTGAGCAACACCCCATGGAGCACCAGGGGATTGAATTCATCCTGTCTTATAAAACTGGAAGTGAGTCCCTGGAAGCTTATGTTACTCCAGTCAGAATCCAGCTCAACCAGTATCCATCAGGCTGTTGCAACCTTGAAGAATAGTCTGGAGTCATGAATTACCCCAAAAGGAGTATTACAGAGGAAAAATAGAATAACACCCAACTGGAAAAACTATGAGCCATAGATACATATATAGATGTATAGATTGGGATGTAGATACACACACACAGTCTTACATAGGACTTCCACATTTCTGGGTAAGGATGGCAGTATCCCCAAATCTGACTTGAACCTCCCTTTAAAATTTACACAGGTCTAAAGGCATCTGTTGAACTGGTGAGGGGGGGCTGCTACCAGTCTTCTGGGAGAGATCACTCATCCTAAGAAAATATTCAGAAGATAAAACCATAATCTTTAGACCCAAAGAAAAGCAATTCTGACTAAAGCATAAGATCTGTTACACAGACTTGTCTTCTGGTCCAATCCTCAAATTGACCCATTGTGTCAGAGTCTTATGGGGGAAGTTCAGGCCTGTGGTTAAAAATCCCCAGACTATATCATGGCCCAAGTTGCCCTGCATAACTATCTAAACTGATGAGTCAGCCAACTGGGGTTTCTAAAGAAATATGTTGGACTTCACTATTGGAGGATTTCAGAACATCATCAGCAAATAGGTAGGGGCCTGGATGAAAGGGCAGAACTACCCAATATACATGATAATATTAAGGAGAGAATAAAGGGAGGTGGGGCAGGCACAGTAGGAAAGAAACAAAAAGACGGCACTCACCTAACAGTTGCCTGGCTTTATTCTTTAAAAAAAAAAAGAAGATTTTATTTATTTATTCATAAGAGACACAGAGAGAGGCAGAGACATAGGCAGAGGGAGAAGCAGGCCCCCAGCAGGGAGCCTGATGTGGGACTTGATCCTCAGACCTGGGACCCCAGGAGCATGACCTGAGCCAAAGGCAGACGCTCAACCACTAAGCCACCCAGGTGCCCCTCCTGGCTTTATTCTTAAGCACAGGTGAGAACTACTTTCTCCATCATCCCAAATAGCTGATACAGATCCCTTGGGAGTTGGGAATCCTACATGGACAGATAGGGAAAGAAACCTGTAGCACTCATAGTCATTACTTTATTTGGTCCTCACATAATCCCTTAGAGCTCATTATTATCTCCATTTTACAGATGAGAAAAGATATAAAATCTATTCTTTTAGCTAAGTGGTCTGGTGGTAATTTGGAGTTCATATTCACTTCTAAAATTCTATCAACAAATATTAAGTTGATAGAACTTTGGAAATAAATTGCCTTTAGAAATAAACTGATTAAATTTATGCTATAGATTACTTCTTTTTTGTTAAAAAACTTTTATTACTTTATTTTTTTTAATTTTTTTTTATTTATTTATGATAGTCACAGAGAGAGAGAGAGGCAGAGACATAGGCAGAGGGAGAAGCAGGCTCCATGCACCGGGAGCCCGACGTGGGATTCGATCCCGGGTCTCCAGGATCGCGCCCTGGGCCAAAGGCAGGCGCTAAACCGCTGCGCCACCCAGGGATCCCAAACTTTTATTACTTTAACAATAATGTGTGTACATTCTAGAAATAAGGAAAAATACAAAAAAGAATAAAAAAATTACTCATAATCCTACTTTTTGTCTTTCATCCTTCACATGTTTTTTTTCCTGTGGATATATGTAATATACAAATGTATTCTTCCTTTCAAAAATATGATATTCACATATTACTTAGTAACCCTTTTTAAATTTTATATCCTGTCAGGAATCTTTTTTTGTACAAATGAGTAAAGCTCTCCTATTAAAAGGCAGAGACTTGTATATTGGTTCAAAATATGATGAACAATGACATGCAGATTAACAAGAGATGCATCTAAAATCACTAATACCAACAAGTTAAACGTAGACAGATGGACAAAGGTATATCAGGAAAATGCAAATCAAAAGACAGTTATATTACAGTGTTAATATCAGGAAAAAATAAAATTAAGGCAAACTACATTAAATAGAGCTAAGGATGGTTTTGGTTAACCTTCCAATGCATGACTATAAGCTTGTTTCTTACTCTCCTTATCTCATCTATTTCATTCACTTCTCTAAGCATATCTTCCTTGCTGAAATGCCTGTTGTGTATATCTTCTTTAAATTCCAGGAGAGACTGAATCAGCTTTTCTATAAAAGTTCCTTCTGTTTTCTCCTCCTCCTCTGGCTCTTCCTCCTCTGGCATTTCCTCAGCCTTTGGTTCTTCCTCAAGCTTTGGTTCACTCTCATTTTCTGGTTTTCCTTCAATTTTTTGACAGGGTATCATCTTGTTAGTCTCCTTTTTCCTTCTCTTCCTTTCTTTTTTTCCTGCTTTATTCCTCTTTGAATAAAATTACTTCTAGGAAGCAAGGTGACCATAAGTCAAAAGAGTGGTAAATGGACAACTGCTCTGGACAGAGGTCTCAGCATTTGCTTTCTTTGATTCAGAGCTATCACCAAATATCTTCCACTTGGGAGACTCAATCAGCAATCAGGGGTTCCCTGAACCTGCAGCTCTTACCTCCACTTTCCACCTCCTTACCTCTCTTTTGTCCCTCCCTTCAGCCTTTTTCAAGGCCCTCCCCAACCATTTCTACACACAGGGCAAACCAGAAGTCCCTCCTGAAACAGAGTAGGTTGGGAGAACCGGCGGTGGGTAGGAACAGTGGGACCCACAACCTCTGTCCGGCCCTCACCCCATTCCACCCCAGGGGCTTTTAAAATATTCCCCTAACCTACCTGTACTGATTGATTAGTTTCTTCCTCCCCTTTTCTAGCTTTGTGCAGTGCTAGGAACGACAGACCTGCAGACCTTCAGACAAATGGGAAATGGCGAGAAAGAGGGAAGGTTGAAGAAGGGGGGAGGGTGGGGAAGGGGCAAGTGCTCGGTGAGCCGATGGCACCTTGTACCTTTTTCCTCAATAAGGTTTTTGGTGATGAAAATTTTCTCACCTTTTGTTTCTCCCACTTCTCCCCCCACCCCACAGTGCAAGTTAGCTTGAATTTCCTATCTGACAGGGAGTAGGAAAAGCAGATTACTTCCAAACTCTATTTAAGACACCAATGGGGGTTGAGGGGAGAGTAAGTGTTGGGAAAGCAGTCTGAAGTAGCAGAGGATGATTATTTTTAAACAACCACAGGTCTCCTTTTCCTTCTCCTGGGACCCCTAGTGCCTTTCCCAAGGGTCATCATTTCCTGCAGACTTGGAGGTGGGAAGTGGAGAGATGGTTTTGACCATGGCTCCCTCAAGTCTCTGCTCTAGGCCACTCCCACCGTAGAAATCCCCAAGCAGCACCCATTTTGACACCAACCTTCAAAATTCCGACAAATTGACTCCTCTTTTCCCTGGCGTCAGGCTCCACCGTCTGCAGGGCTAAAAGAAACCTGGTACCCAGAGGGGAACAAGGACCAGACTAGCAGGACTTCTGCACACCTCGACTCTTGTTCACGTGAGATCTAAGTCACCAGAAAGCTCGGGTCCCCAATTTCCATTCCTACCAAAAGCGCGGCAGAAGTGGGTCCGCCTATGCCCCCTTTCTCTTTATACATCTGGCTTGTCATTCTTAGTTATTGTCGCCTACCCCAGATGGCAAAATGTTACTCGCCTTTCTCTGATTACTAGGGAGGGGCTGCATCTTTTCTGGAGCTACTAAACTTTTAAGAATTGTTGCTTCGCGCCTTCAGCTCCCAGGATTAAGAGCTCCTACATCCATCGCCCCTCCCGTAGACTCCATTTCATCTGCAGTCCCGTCCCTGGCTGTTGTGGAACAGGGTTGGTTTGGTAGCAGGTTGTTAAAAAAAAAAAGGACTCTGGGACAAGAGTGATATGAATTTAGCTTTCACTTTATTCTTAATACTTTTATATTCTTTTTTTAAACAAAAGTAAACATGTTTTTCATAGGCAGAAATGACAAAGACAAAATTACTTTAGTTAAACGAATTAATACATGTAGAATCCTGAGAATAGTTCCTGGCCTATTGTTAAGTGCTCTAAAAGTGCAAGCTATTATTATAATTATATTAGGATTTCATTTGGGGAAAATGATACAAAACTTTAAAAAAAAGAGAGAAAGAAAGTAATGTTTGACTCCAGAGCCCTGATGGTGGTATTTGCCAGGAAGCTGTGCTGCCTGCAGAATCATCAATTGGCAGGTTCACATTATGATCCCAAGTTTCCTCATCCGAAAGGGAATACTAAGGTACATCTTCTAGAACTGAGTTTTGGAATTCTAAATGATACTTAGCTCAAGGAACTCGGCTCATATTATCTTCAACAGATATTGATCACCTTTCAGACCCACTTCAGTCTTCAGTATAAATTGCAAATTTGCAATAAAAATTACATAGTTCTCAGAGACAACATTTAAAAAAATAACAGGAAGAGACATATGTATATTTTTGTTTTGTGGGAGTTTTGGTGCCCCTTTGTGAGGCAGAATAAAGAGCTCAATAGATTATGTAGAAGAAAAATAACCTTTACCCCATGTTCTTTTATTTCACTTGCTCTCCTGTCACATTATTCTATCTTCTGGGAAGCATGTGCTATGAGTACCAGAAAACCCAAGATATAATGGTTTGGGTCTGCCAAACAGAACGCTGGTGTGACAGGATATGTTAGTCCCGGTGCCAGACCTAGACTGTGTACTAAGTTAGCCAAAATAGCCAGTTAGCTCAAAATAGAGAAAGCTTCAAGCAAGAAAAAAAAAAAAAACCTTGACCTGTGCCTCAAAGGGTACACAGGACCTAGATAAAGGGTGGGAAGAAAGAAGAGTAGTCTCACTGAACCTAGGCCCTGTGGCCTTATTATCACCCTGGCCTGTCTTATGCTGCCTTGTTGGGTAGAAGTTCACTTGCTCCTCCTTAGGAGAATTTAAGTCTGTTGATGATGGCTACTATCTGAAAGCAGGTTCAATGTAACAACTTCTTGACATGTTCTGCGCTCTCTCCCAAGGACTTTTTCTCTTATTTCCAGGTCATAGGGACCTGAATTGGCCAACCTTTCTGGATAGTACATACTGAAGCAATTGCTAAGTATTTAAAATATGCATTGCCTTGAGCGGGTAAATCCATTCTTAGGTACACATCCCAGAAAAATATTTAATGGTAGTCGCAATGATTTACCACATCAAAGTTCATAGACCTGACTTCCTAGCATCACTCCTTTGACTTGGACTTGAATATACAAAGAGAAGCCCCAAGCCAAAAGCAGCAACGAAGGAACAGAAAGAGAATTGTTCTAGTCAATAGCAGATATGCACCCAAGCATGTGCACATGCACATTCACACATGCGTGTGCATCTTCTCATCAAGAATTCTCCCAGGTAATTTTGATAGTAAAGAAAGCAACCTTCATGATTCTTTTAAAACAATTCAAATTAGGGCAGCCCCCGTGGCACAGCAGTTTAGCGCCGCCTGCAGCCTGGGGTGTGATCCCGGAGACCTGGGATCGAGTCCCACGTCAGGCTCCCTGCATGGAGCCTGCTTCTCCCTCTGCCTATGTCTCTGCCTCTCTCTCTCTCTTTCTCTCTCTCTCTCTCTCTCTCTGTGTGTCTCTATGAATAAATAAATAAAATCTTAAAAAAATAAAACAATTCAAATTACACCAATGGTGTGTACCATTTATAAATGGAAAGTAACCATTATTATATACGTATGTATATATAATAATTGATTATATATGTTATATATCTGTTATATATGTTATATATATGTTATATAATCAATTATTATCAGTATTATATAATTATGTATATATAATATTGAAAGTTAATATACACAGTACTACATTTCTGTCACAACATACAGATATTTATTTGGGGGCATTTAAAATATAAACATATAATTAAATTGTACCATAACATTTGTAAAGTCCATAAAATTTATTCCTATAAAATTTCAAGTTGTATTATTGAGAGATGAATGAATGACAGATGTGAGCCTGTCTGGTTTAGCTGGATGCACAACCCAAATCCATCAGGGACTCAGCTGAGTTCTGTGGCCATCTTGTAACAGTTGTTTACTCAGCACTGGTGCTTTTTAAAAAATATATTTTTATTTAAATATTTTATTTTTACTTATTTATCTGAGAGAGAGATAGCACATGAGAGAGAGAGTGTGAGAGAGATAGGATGAACAGGGAGAGGGCCAGAGGGAGAGGGAGAAGCAGACTCCTCACTGAGGAGGGAGCCCGATGCAGGGCCCGATCCCTGGACCCTGGGATCACAACCTGAGCTGAAGGCAGAAGCCCAATCCACTGAGCCACCCAGGTGCCCTAGCACTGGTGCTTAAATGTCATCCTTCCATTTCGACCTCTCCCCATACCCCATTGTCCACCATATTATATTCAAAGTCATGTTATTGTGGGGTCTTAATGTATTTCTATATCATAGTAGAACTGTGAATGAATATATACTGAGCTATTCCCATAGGGTGTATTTGAGAATGAGTATTTAGTATAAAGGCGCCTTTTTTAAAATATTTTATTCATTTATTCATGAAAGACACAGAGAGAAATGCAGAGACAGGCAGAGGGAGGAGCAAGCTCCTTGTGGGGGAGCCCGTTGCAGGACTCCATTCCAGGAGCCTGGGACCTGAGCCAAAGGCAGACACTCAACCACTGATCCACCCAGGTGCCTTGGCAACTTTTACTTTCTAAGTGTTGCATTTATATATTTAAATTTTATCTTTAATAGTCGTGTATTAATATTCAGAAAAATGAGACAAACCCTTGAAAACATGCAGAAGAAATAAAATATCTTACAAACATAAGTCAACCATATATTTATTGAAATGGAAGTATTTTAATAATAGATTGGTATGTGAAAAAGGCAGTTTTTTACAAAATGTAACTTGCAGAGCATCTAATTTTAAAAAGTAATATGTGCATAGATATTTATATGTATGTATTTATAGAAAATATTATGGAACAATATACACCAAAATATTAGGAGTGAGTATGGTTGGTGGGATTATGGGTGACTTAGACTTTTTTTTTTATGATAGTCACAGAGAGAGAGAGAGGCAGAGACACAGGCAGAGGGAGAAGCAGGCTCCATGCACCGGGAGCCCGATGTGGGATTCGATCCCGGGTCTCCAGGATCGCGCCCTGGGCCAAAGGCAGGCGCCAAACCGCTGCGCCACCCAGGGATCCCTAGACTTTTTTTTTATATACTTCTTTGTAGATTCTTTTACATTTTCTCAGGGTGTGTGTGTAACTTCTATAATAAAAAATAGTCTGCAAACAGTACAATATTATTTTGTAGCACATATTTCACATATGTATTTCTT